GCTCACTTTAACCTCCACCTCTTGGACTCAAGCAGTCCTCCCAGGTCAGCCCCCTGATTAGCTGGGACCACAAGCACATCCCATCATGACAAGCTATTTTTTTGTTTTGTTTATTTGTCTGTTTTTGTTGAGATGGGGTTTTACCATATTGCCCAGGCTGATCTTGAACTCCTGAGCTCAAGTGATCTAGTCGTTTTTGGCCTCCTCAAATGCTGGGATTACAAGTGTGAGCCACTACACCTGGCCCTGCCTTCTCTTTTTATTAGACAGCAGTCTACTCACTCACCATGTTCCCAATTAGGGGATCTTTAACCTTCCCATTTTCCTACCAGGGGTCTATGCCAAGTCCATAGGTATTTATTTGTGTCTAGAATTGGATGTTCTTTGTAAAAAGAGAAGCCCAAGGAATGCCTTCCTAGCTGATTTTCAGGATTCTAATCTTCATTTTCTAAACTATAGGTTTCCATCCCTGGATACTGGTTAGAATCACTTGTAGGGCATTTAAAACCTACTAATGCCTGTGCCTTTCCCAAGTGTGTCTGATTCAATTGGTGCATGGTGTGGCCCAAGCATTGGTTGGTTAAGACTGCTTCTGGCTGGGCACAGTGGCTCATGCCTGTAATCCCAGCACTTTGGGAGGCCGAGGTGGGTAGATCATGAGGTAGGGAGTTCGAGACCAGCCTGAGAAACATGGTGAAACCCTGTCTCTACTAAAAATACAAAAATTATCTGGGTGTGGTGGCATGTGTCTGTAATCCCAGCTACTTAGGAGGCTGAGGCAGGAGAATTGTTTGAACCAGGGAGGTGGAGGTTGCAGTGAGCCGAGATTACACCACTGCATTGCAGCCTGGGCAACAAGAGTGAAAGTCCATCTAAAAAAAAAAAGCTTCCAAGGAAAATGCTCACTTTATTGTGGAGGAATGTTAGCCCAGGGCTCAAAGTTAATGCCCCATTAATTAGAGTTATCAACATCTTATGGTATCCTAGTATAATGGGTGGAGAAGGCACAAAACCACATCTTTGGTTTTCTTGCCCAAAGTCCCTAAGCTGAGTATAATCATGAGAAGAAATTAGAAAAATTTAAACTGAGGCTAATTCTGCAAACGAACTCACCAATACTTTTCAACATTTTAAGGTCATACATGCAAAAGAAATTCTATGGAACTGTCGCAGATTAAAGGAGACTGAGAGGACAGAACAATGAGATGCAGGACGTTAGGAGGAAGATGAAGAGGATTTGAATATGGTCTGCAGATTCATTCGTTGTACGATGTCAGCGATAACTTATTGATTTTAATGTTGGCACTGTGGTTATCTAAAACAATATTTGGGGAAGTTGAGTGAAAAGTGTATGTTGACTAGTTTTGGAACATTTTTGAAAGTCTGAAATAATTTCAAAATGAAAAGTTTGAAAAAAAAAAGGAGAAGAAATCTAGATATTTCTATTAAGTTGCCAGAGCTGAAGACCATTTCCCAAGTCACCTTGCCTAATGTTGTCAGTGTAATCTTCCTGGAAATGCTGTTTGTCATGTTTGTGACCTTCTCAAAGCTTTCCAGTGACTTCTCTTATCTGTAGGATGAAGTTCCCGTTCCTTAGAGCCATTCAGGGCTCTGCCATTCAGAGCCCTCATAGCCTGGCCCCAGTCTACTCCCTTGATCCACATTTTACTTTCTCATTTCCAAACATTTTCTAGTTCTTTTCCTTGTTCATATCATACCCTTGTCTGTCTTCTCAGTCTCCTGAGTTGTTCTTTGTCCTAAGGCCCATTTCAGACCCTCTTCACTGAAGCCTGTATAGTTATTTCTGTTAGGATCAGTCATCTTTCGTTTCTTTGAATTCTTGTAGGTACAATGATGTGGAGTGAAACATGAGTTTTATTTAATTATTATCATGTTTTAGAAAAAAACAATGTATTCTGCTAATTAAAAGCTTTTCTTTCTTTTCTTTTTTTTTTTTTTAAGGCTGAATCTTACTCTGTCACCCAGGCTGGAGTGTAGTAGCGCGATCTCGGCTCATTGCCAGCTTCTGACTCCCTGGTTCAAGTGATTCTCCTGCCTCAGCCTTCTGAGTAACTGGGATTACAGGTACAAGCCACCATGCCCAGCTGATTTTTTGTAGTTTTAGTAGAGACGGGGTTTCACCATGTTGGACAAATGGTCTTGATCTCCTGAGCTCGTGATTTGCCTGCCTCAGCCTCCCAAAGTGCTGGGATTACAGGTGTGAGCCACTGCACCTGGGCTAAAAGTTTTTCTTTAAAAAAAAAATCTTTATAATAGAATGATTTATAATCCTTTGGATATATACCCAGTAATGGGAGTGTTGGGTCAAATGGTATTTCTATTTCTAGATCCTTGAGGAATCACCACACTGTCTTCCACAATGATTGCACTAATTTACACTCTCACCAACAGTGTAAAAGCATTCCTATTTAGGTTGGGGAGGGATAACATTAGGAGAAATACCTAATGTAGGTGACGGAGGGACGGAGGCAGCAAACCATCATGGCATGTGTATACCTATATAACAATCCTTGCAAGATCTGCACATGCACCCCAGAACTTAAAGTATAATAATAAAAAAAAATACAAAAAAATCTTAACATTTTGATTGGAGAAGGATTAGAGATTAAATTGTTGATGTTTGAATTTTATTGTGGTTTAAAAAACTTTTATTTTAGGTTCAGGGTACATGTGTAGCTTTGTTATGTCAGTAAACCCGTGGTACAGGGGTTTGATATACAAATTATTTCATTACCCAGGTACTAAGCCTAGTACCAGTAGTTATTTTTTCCACTCCTCTTCTAACTCCCACTCTTTGCCCTCTTGTAGGCCCTAGTGTCTGTTTCCCCCCTTTTTTTGTCTGTATGTTCTCATCATTTAGCTCCCAGTTACAAGTGAGAACATGCAGTATTTGGTTTTCTGTTTCTGTGTGAGCTTGCTAAGGATAATGTCCTCTAGCTCCATCCGTGTTCCTGGAAAAGAGATGACCACATTATTTTTTATGACTGCATAGGATTCTGTAGTGTATATGTACCATGTTTTAAAAATGCAGTTTTCCATTGATGGGCATTTCGATTGATTCCATGTCTTCTCCATTATGAACAGTGCTGCAGTGAACACTCATGTGCATGTGTCTTTACGGTAGAATGATTTATATTCCTGTGGGTATATACCCCGTAATGAGATTGCTGGGTCAAATGGTAGTTCTGATTTTAGCTCTTAGAGAAATTGCCACAATGATTGAACTAACTGACACTTCCACCAGCAGTGTATAAGCATCCGCTTTTCTCCACAACCTTGCCAGCATGTTATTTTTTTGATGTTAGCCATTCTGACTGGTGTGAGATGGTGATAGTATCTCATTGTAGTTCTGATTTGCATTTCTCTAATGATCAGTGATAGCGAGCTTTATTTCCTATGTATGTCTTCTTTTGAAAAGTGTCTGTTGGCTGGGTGCAATGGCTCACACCTGTAATCCTAGCACTTTGGGAGGCTGAGGCAGGTGGAGGTCAGGAGTTCAAAACCAGCCTGGCCAACATGGTGTAACCCTATCTCTACTTAAAGTGCAAAAAAAAAAAAAATAAGAAAAAGCCAGGTGTGGTGGTGGTCACCTGTAATCCCAGCTATTCAGGAGGCTGAGGCAGGAGAATTGCTTGAACCTGGGAGGCAGAGGTTGCAGTGAGCTGAGATCATGCCAGTACACTCCAGCCTGTGACAGAGTGAGACTCCATATCAAAAAAAAAAAAAAGAAAAAAAAGAAAAGTGTCTGCTTATGTCCTTTGCCCACTTTTTAATGGGGTTGTTTCTTTCTTATAAGTTTGTTTAAGTTCCCTATAGATGCTGGGTATTACATTTTTGTCAGATGCATAGTTTGAAAATACATTCTTCCATTCTGTAGGTTGTCTGTTTACTCTGTTGATGGTGTCTTTTGCTGGAAGCATGAGTTTTCGATTCATAAATACGTGTGTCTGAGTCCTGGTTCCACCTTTTATCAGGTGAGATAAGCGAAAAGTTAATTGATGTCTTGGAATAGAGGGATAATAGTGTCTGCTTAAAGGGTCATTGTGAGCATTGGATGAGGTGCAAACATAAAGGTCCCCAGCAGGTAGCAGATACTTCCTCTTCATTTTTGTAGCTCACTGGCTCCACTAATCATCGCTGGTTGTGAACATGCATCAAAAGACAAAATTCCAACTAATGTAAATATAGATCTAACTGGCTTTTATTTGTGAGTCAGGATTTGGGGCACCTCCCACTCTACCTATACAGTGATAGCTCCTCGTGGGCGATACAATAACAGAACAGTGGGTTTTGTCAAATTGGAGCCAGTAAACAGAGCCATAGGACTAAACTGATTGGTTAACATCAGGGTACTTCAGGTTACTTTTTTTGGGGTAAATGTTAAAGGAGAGGGGACTTCCTTATTATGTTGACTCAGAGAGACTGGACTCTTCCGTTTTCAGAAAAAAACTGGTCTGTTTTGAGATCTGCTTCCTTAAAATTCCAGCTGGAGTATGTAGCATTTAGCATGAGTGGCTCTAATTTGGAGTCTTTAGGCTCTCATTTATGTAAGAATATGACCAAAACCTAAAGCATTAGCAGGACTCTCAGTTCTCACCATTTTCGGCTTCCATCATTTATAGGTTATAATATCCTCCTGATCACACATTTCTTTGAGTTTATATAATTCCAGCCAAAGAGAGACCATTTGATATTAGATGGATGGCAGCACGCAAACATTTAAAACTTTTAGAGATTACAGCACACCAGGGAGACTACTAGGATGATTATCAGGAAGACAATATGAAGAGTTTGGAGTATCACCTTTGGCAAGATGCAAACCAACTAAAATAGAATAGATCAAAGAATGAACTAGTTGAGTGTAGCCATTTTAACCAAGTAGCGTATTTATTAATTTTTGCAACTGAGACTCTTTAATACCCAATATATTTATCCATGTGCAATGAAAAGCATCATCAACTTCAAAGACTCTTCTCTGTTCAGCCAATAGGGAGCAATTTTATTATGTAGCATCGCATGGCTGGGTTAAACTAAAACCCAGAGTGAGAACAAGTGAGTCTAGAAGTCTAACTCTAAAAGGGACCGTGATACATTTGGACAAACAGTTGTGTTAAAGATGCTGCTAATGTTAGCCACTGGGTGTACTAAAGGATCTCTTATGTAAAAATTTGGGGTTGACACAATAGATTAACACTTGGTTAATCTGTCATTCTATGGATATTCTCAAATATAACATCCCAATCAAAGCCTTGGTAATATAACCAATGTTTAAAAATATATCCCATTATAAAGACAGCAGGTTCTTACTGGCCTTGTGCAAATAACTGAATTACCATAAACATATGAATACTCATGAATAGTTGCCCAGTTCTGTGGCAGTCAGGTAGGGAGCAAAAGTAAATGTTATAATTTTTGTTCACAAAAGTATACTTTACCAAATTGCCATAAACTATAAATAAAAAACAGTTTATTTATAGTAAAAAGTAAAGAAATTTGGCTGGTCATGGTGGCTCATGCCTGTAATCCCAGCATTCTGGGAGGCCGAGGTGGGTGGATCACCTGAGGTCAGGAGTTTGAGACCAGCCTGGCCAACATGATGAAACCTTGTCTCTACTAAAATTACAGAAATTAGCCGGGCATTGTGGTAGGCGCCTGTAATCGCAGCTACTTGAGAGGCTGAGGCAGGATAATTGCTAGGACCCAAGAGGTGGAGGTTGCAGTGAGCTGAGGTCATGCCACTGCACTCCAGCCTGGGAGACAAAGCAAGACTCCATCAAAAAAAAAAAAAAAAAAAAAAAAGATAAATTAATAAATCTGAAAAAGAAACCACTTAAAGAATTAGCAAATTTTCAAATACAAAAATTTAAAAACAGTATCCTCATTATTATTTAGTTCAGTGAAATTGATTTTTTTTCTTCTGTTTTGACTGGCAATTTCATGAAGGCATCAGCCTGTTTGCAAGTTCTCAGACAGTCCAGTGGTATGATCTTAAAGTTAACAGAAACTTGTATTCAAGAGTACTTGTCAGAGTCTTTTCCAGAAACCTCCTTGAAGAAGAAGCAATTTTGGCTAGTAGCTGATTGCAAATGCTTTGAGGAAGAATAGAAACAATTGTCTGTGAATGACAAAGATTGAAAATGACTATGGTTAAAATTCTGATGAGAGCTTATTATGATAAAGGCACAGCTCACATAGAAATTAAGTTGCTTCTGTGGCATATGACATTATGACTGATAACATACTCTTTTTCTAGGAATCTCACATAATTTTTGGAACACCCGTATCAGTAACATACCCATAAGTATAACTTAGAAAAGGTTTAGCATCACTTATCAATTGACAATGCTTTCCATGGGATTTAACATATCAAATAAGTGGCTTTTCCACTTAGCTTCTGTTTCTCAGCTGGATTACTGAGTTCTTGATGGAGCCCATTAATGAATGGGGCCAACAAAGTATAGGCTTGTATATGTTGAAAAAGGTTTCTAGGAAATTTGAATACTCGCAGCTAAAGAAACATTGTTTTAGCCTCACATTCTTAGAACAGGAGTTCTCCATCCTAGTTACATTTGAGTAGCATCTGGGAAGGCGTAAAAATTACCAGCACCTGGGTCCCACTCCAGACATTAGGCCAGAATTTATGGATGAGGCTTAAGCGTCATTTAAAAAAATGTTTATCAGTGATTTCCAATGTGCAGCTATATTTCCCATCGGATGTGTTTGATTTCTTATGGCAGTCACTTTTTTCTATTTTAGTATTATGATTATTTTTCAAATATTATCTCCTTCCTTAGGCCATATGTTCTCTGGGATAGGGAACTTGCCTTCTTTATTTCTGTATCAACCACACATAGGTTGTGTCCTGTGTCTCAGGCTCACACATTAATGCTAGAGTCCTTGTTCTCCATGAGGTCAGTGGTTGCCAGTGATGAAGGGCGTGGGTAACTCCATGGTTCAGAGAATGGATGGGAGAGCACCCTGTTTTTTAGGCATAGCATTGAAACTAAGAATTCGATGTGCATGTGGGCAGAGGGGCAGGGTTGTGTAGAGAGTCAGATCTTATTAGGATGGAAGAATCATACTGGGAGTAGAGGTAAAGGAATTAAGAAGGATTAGTAAAGAGAAGAAATGTGAACTTATCAAATAGGCCAGAATAGACTCCTGAAGATTCTTGAGTAGGTGAGTGAACTAGATTTTAGGAAGGTAATGAGGCAGCCATATGCAAGGAAAATTTCAAAGACTGCGGATGAAGTCAAGCAGGACTTCAAGCAGTTGTTGAGGTTTATGGGAATGGAGAGAATGACACAAGTGATAGATCTTAAGAAAGGATCAAAAGACTTTCACAGTGTATTGAATCTGGGAAACAAATGAGTAGAGGCTGGGAATAATCACATCTAAGAGACAGTGGGGCACATGGAGCATGTAGACCAGGGAAGAAGAGACCTGCAGGAGTTAGTGATGAGAAGCAGGAGTTTTTTGGGAGGAAGAGGAGGTTCAATCCCGGGATACAGTTCTCTCTCCCAAGCATGGCAGTCAGCCTTGCAGGAAACAGGACAAGAGGAAAGGCCATCATACCCGCCAGTCTTCCTGAAATGCAGAAATCACACCAGGGCTGCTATATCAGAGCCACCCTGGCCAGCACTCCAATCATGATGCTGACAGTAGCCCCAGCTGAGAGGACAGGAGAACTATCTGGTACCGAAGCGTCTGTCATGGAAAGAAAAGAGAAGGAATGAAGGTGATGTTATTTTACAGTGTGGTGCCGCCGGAACCAGCTCTTAGCATGAAGTAGTCTTTACTTGTTTTTTCAAGGAATATATTATTTTTGTGGGAAGGTTGCTAGGAAGTGATTAGCCAACTATATTCTTGCAGTTTTTTTCCTCTCTCACCATGTTTCTAGGTTGATGATCAGTTTTCTGTCAATTTCATCCTGACCTGTCTTTACTCAGATATGTTTGAAGGCTTTGGGGTGTGAGAAAGGCTGTGATATTTTCTGTCATTAGAACTTTCCACTTTTCATGGTTGCATCTTTTTCTCAGTGTCTTAGTTGTGGCAGGTCTCTCTGGCAGGGAGTGGATGGACAGAAGGTCCGTGTCAATGCATTCCAAATTGACCACCACGTTTGCACAGAGACCTCTCTTCTCAGGGGCTTCCAGCAGGGGTATGAAAGCAAGCCTAGTATTATGAGACTCTGTTTAACTCTAATGGGTTACTAGTTGGAGGACACTCCATCAGCCTTGCTGAAACTCAGTTAGAACTGTACCACTATTTGGCTGGGCACGGTGGCTCACGCCTGTAATCCCAGCACTTTGGGAGGCTGAGGTAGGCGGATCACGAGTTGAGGAGATTGAGACCACCCTGGCTAACACAGTGGAACCCTGTCTGTACTAAAAATACAAAAAATTAGCTGGGCATGGTCGCAGGCACCTGTAATCCCAGCTATTCAGGAGGCGGAGACAGGAGAATCACTTAAACCTGGGAGGCGAAGGTTACATTAAGCCGAGATCACACCACTGTACTCCACCCTGGGCAACAGAGTGAGACTATCTCCAAAAAAAAAAACAAAAGGAACTGCACTGCTCTCTAAATCTTCTTTTCTTTTTCTCCTTCACAGGGATCAGATCTGCATCGTGGTCTGAGGGATCTCCCAGGCTTCTCCCACACCTGCCCCACTTTCCCTCACAGATGTTTTTCCTAATAAATTATCTTGCATGTCTCATCCCATCTTGGCTGCATCTCAGTGGGTAAAAATTAACATACTAGGTTTGATTTTTTGCATTTAGCTTTTTAGTCTCTCTCTTTCACATGTAGCCAATTATCATGTCCTAGTGTTTTCTGTGTTGCATTTTTTTTTTACATAAAATACTTTTTACACACACACACACACACACACACACACACACACCCTTTTGCATCTGTTTCTTTCTTTCTATTGGAACCATTTACTTTTGGCCCTCACCAGTCAACTCAGGCTGATGATTAACGCTATGTTAGCTACTGTTGAGGGGCACCTCCTATGGGCCAGGCCCTGTGCTGAATACTTCACCTGTGTCTCGTTTGATTTATACAAGAACCTTGTCAGGTAGACATTATTTTCATTTTACAGATGAGAAGACAAAGGCTTAGAGTGGTGAAAAAAACTGTAGTAATATAGCAGCTAACATTTGTGAAACATTTCCTCTGTATGTGGCATTTTGCTGAAGGTTTCATTGATGATTACATTAAACCTTTAAAACAATGCTATGAAGCAAACATTGTTACTGCAATTTTCAGTTGAGGAATCAGAGGCTCAGAGAAGTTAAGAATCTTGTGCAATAAATTTATAACTGCAAACTCTTACATTAAATAAGAAGAAAGATCTTAATTCAACAACCTAATTTATGACTTCACAATATAGGAGAAAAATAAACTAAACCCAAACACAGTGAATGAAGGAAGTAATAAGGATTAGAGTGGGTATAAATAAAATGGAGAATGGAAAAGCAATAGAGAAATCAATGAAACCAAAAGTTGGTTCTTCAAAATAAGATCAACAAAATTGACAATCGTTAACTAGATTGACTAACAAAAAAAGAGAGAAGATTGAAATTACTAAAATCAGAAATGAAAATGGAGTCACGCATGGTTGCTTACACCTGTAATCCCAGCACTTTGGGAAGCCAAATCCAGAGGATTGCTTGAGGCCTAGAGTTTGAAACCAGCCAACATAGGGAGATTCTGTCTTTACAAAATTAAAAAAGGAAATCAGCCAGGCATGGTGGTGTGCACCTGTAGTTTCAGCTACCTGGGAAGCTGAGATGGGAGGATCGCTTGAGCCTAGGAGTTTGAGGCTGCAGTGAGTTGTGATTGCACCATTGCACTCCACCCTGGCATGGCCTAAAGAGTAGAACCCTGTTTTTCTCTCTAAAAAAAAAAAAAAGAAAAAGAAAAAAGAAAATGGAGACATTATATCAATTCTAGAGAAATAATGTTTACAAAAGTACTATGAATAATTGTATGCCAATAAATTGGATAAGATGAAAATGGACAAATCCCTAGAAAGACACAAAAAAATCTGAATAGATTTATAATTAGTAGAAAGATTGAATAAAAATTGCATTTGATAAAATTCAACATTCTTTCTTAATAAAAGCATTATAAGTATGAATGGAAGGAAACCATCTCAATATAACAAAGGCAATATTTGAGAAGCCTAAGGCTGACATCATACTCAATAGAGAAAGACTGAAAGCTTTCCCTGTATGATCAGAAACAAGAAAAGGATGCCTGCTTTTGCCACATCTGTTTAAATAGTATTAGAAAACCTAGACAGAGAAATTAGGCAAGAAAAAAAGACTTTCAAATTGGAAAGAAGTAAAATTATCTGTCTGTTCACAGATAACTTGAACTTGTATGTAGAAAACTTTAAAGATGAAAAAAACCTGTTAGAATTTATTAATAAATTCAGTAATGTTGCAGGATACAAAATCAACACGCAAGCATCAGTTGCATTTCTGTATACTGAGAATGAACAATCTGAAAAGAAATTAAGAAAAAAATTTTAATTCACATTAACATCAAAAAGAATAAAATATTAACCAAGGTGAAAAGATTATGTTCTGAAAACTAGAAAACACTGCTGAAGGAAATTAAAGATGACCTCAAGAAATGGGGAGATGTTTTGTTTTTATGGATTGGAAGACTCAGTATTGTTATGAGGACAGTACTACCCAGAGTGAGCTACAGATTCAACACAATTTCTGTCAGAATGCCAATGACATTTTTTGCAGAAATAGAAAAATCTATCCTAAAGTTCATATGGAATTTCAGGACTCAAAATAGCCAAACAAGTGTGAAAAAAAAATCTTGAAAAAATGCTGAATCCTGATTTCAGCATTTACTACAAAGCCACAATAATCAATACAGTGTGGTACTTGCATAAAGGAAGACATAGAAACCAGTGGAATAGAAAAGAAAGCCCAGAAAGGAATGCTTGCATATATAGCCAAATGCTTTTTGATAAGGATGCCAAGACCATTCAACGGGGAAAGTGCAGTCTTTTCAACAGATGACCTTGGGAAAGCTGGATATCCATGCAGAAGGATGAGTCGAACCTTTACCTGACACCATATACAAAAAACTAACCCACAGTAGATCGAAGACCAAATGTAAGAGTAAAAAACTATAAAACTCTTAGGAGAAAACACAAGGGAAAAAACTCCATGACATTGGATTTCACAGTGGTTTCTTGGTTATAACAGCAAAAACATAGGCAACAAAAAGAATGGATAGGTTGGACTTCATGAAAATTAGTAACTTCTATATATCAAAGAACATTATCGAGGAAGTGAAAGGGCAACCCATGAAGTGGGAAAAATATTTGCAAATCACATATGATAAAGGATTAATTTTCAGAATATGTGAAGAACTACTACAAATCAAGAACAGCAAAAATCCAAAAACCCAATTAAAAAAGGACAAAAGACCAAAATAGAGATTTCTCCAAGGAAGATACACAAATGGCCAATAAGTACATGCAAAGATGCTCAACATCACGAATACTTAGAGATATGCAAAAAGCAACCCCAATGGTAGAATACCTCAAAGACATCAGGATGGCTTTGATTTTAAAAAAAACCACACACACACAAACAATAAGTGTTTTTAAGGAGGTGGAAAAATTGGAGCTCTAGTGCATTGCTGATGGGATTGTGAAATGTTATAGCCACTGTGGAAAATGGTGTGGCAGTTTCTCAAAAAATTAAAGAATTAATATTTGAGCCAGCAATTCCACTTCTGGACATATATGCAAGAGAATTGGAAGGAATTTAAACAGATATTTGTGCATGGATGTTCACAGCAGCATTAGCCACACAATAGCCAAAAGGTGGAAACAACTGAAGTCCACTGAAAGATAAGTGGATAGGAAAATGAGGTATATCCATACAATGGAATGTTACTCAACCTTAAGGAATACAATTCTGATACATGGTGCGATATGGATGAGCCTTGAAGACATTATGCTAAGTGAAATAAGCCAGACACGAAAGCACAACTATTACATAATTCCATTTATATAAGGTTGTTAGAATAGTCATGGAGACAGGAAGTAAGTAGAATGGAGGTTACCAGGGGTTAGTGGGAGAAGAAGTAAGAGTTACTGTTTATTGGGTGCAGAGGTTTAATAGGGTGAGATGAGGAAATGGATAGTGGTGATGGTTACCCAACGGCAAATTTCACGGATAGAAATAGTTAATGGTAAGTCTTATGTAAAAAAGAAAAAAGATAGTGGCTGGTAGTCTTACCCTTTCTATAAATGTGCACGGGCACTGCCCCTTCCCTCCCATGCAGAGCCCCCGTGGGTGAATCTCCCTATGTCTCCAAGTGTGCATCACTCACTGTCCTCTGTGCTGTGCCCATGGCCTCATGCAGCCGGCGACTTCAGAGCCAGGACACAGCTCAGGAGTCTTCCCGGAGGCTCCCTGTCTTCCCATTTCCCTGCAGCCTGACCAGGGGGAGGCTTGGCTTCAACTGGCATCTTGATTTAGCGAGATTTGGGACAGGCTACCTGGACACCTTCTCCATACAGCCAGGTCCCACCCCAGGTTGAGTCAGGGCAGGGCCTGTCACTGGGGGTGCTGGGAGTAGAGAAGGGAGCAGTCTGAGCTGCTCCTCCCCCATCCAAGGGACTTCCTTCTCTCGTTTGGGGAATGTTGTGGGCTTGTTTCAAAGCCTTGGATTACAGCTAATGGAATAGGTAAAAGAAAACAAAGGGGTAATAGCAACAAAGGGGTGCCGCATGTTGGTGACAAAGAAAAGCAACTTGACCCGAGGGCCCCCTTCTTCCTGCTTTGTGAAGCCCCTTCCACTACATAGGGGCCTGGGGCTGACCAAGTCCCCTTTCCACATTTCTCAGGTCAGCCTCAAGGTCAGCCATGAGAAATCAGAAAAATAGGCAGAAGAGATTCTGTAGAGATGAATTGGGAGGGTTTAGGAGAAAAATTTGGGATTTGTTTGTGCTGTTGGACAGAGGCTGGGAATAAAACCTTTTTTCTGGCTCTTCTCTGAAAGCCAGATAGACTCTATCAGTAAACACTGCCAGTGCTCTAGGGATCCACATACCAGACACTGTGATCATCTTGACTGTGGTCCTGTTGTGGCCAGTGGCTGGGTTCACGGCGTGGCAGGCATAGGATCCGCTGTTCTTCACAGTAATGTTGGGGATAAAGAGCTTTTGTTTGTGTTGCTGGAATGTACCATTTACAGACCAAGAATACCGTGAGGCTGGATTAGAGGCTGCATGGCAGGAGAGGCTGAGATTTCCTCCTGGGTAGTAATAGGTGTCTGAAGGGGAAATGATGGGGGCTTCTGGGCCATCTGGAGCAAAGAGAATAAAGTCACAGATGATGTCATCAGAGGGAAGGGGAAGCTCCTGGTCTGTGGAAGGGCCATAGCGTCCCTCTGAGACAAGTCACAACTCTGAAGTCTCAATCAAACTCCTGCTGTGTCTACTGAGACAGAGTCTGAGATAATTACCTGTTTCTCCCATCAGAAGATGTGGACCCCAAGTCTCCTGTGACAGGGGCACCCTCTCCCCTCTTATTCTTTGTCAAGACTGGGGCTACCCATGTTTGCCTGGGGCAGGAAGTCATGACCACCTTGGTGTCTAGAGGTGAGGGTCTGCATCTCTGGACCTGATAGGGACTGAGAGGCCTGGCATCTGGCTGTGTGGATCTGGGATGGAAGCCAGGGCCACAGAGGAACAGAAGATACTCACAGAGGACATTCAGGGTGACTGGGTCACTGAAGTTCGCACTCACTGGGTTCTGTATTTCACACTCATAGGGTCCTGTGTCATTCCTTGTGACGCTGAGTAGAGTGAGGGTCCTGTTGTCACTGGACAGCTGCAGCCTGGGACTGACCAGGAGCCTCTGACCATTTACCCACCACAGGTAGGTTGTGTCCTGAGTCTCAGGTTCACAGGTTAAGGCCACAGCATCCTTGTTCTCCACAGGGCTGGAGTTGTTGCTGGTGATGTAGGGCTTGGACAGCTCCACTGTGCAGGTAACAGAGAGAAGATTGCCCTGTGTGGCACCTGTGATTCCTTCACAGGCATCTTTCAATCAGAGTTGGCATCTCCTACCTCTCGGCCCACCTGAGTCCATGAAGCCCACAGCAGGTGTGTGTGTCACAAGATAGATGCATGACAATCAGGGCTTAGAACCATTAGGCTGCCTTCTCTGTGTGGGAGAAGCACAGACTTTCTCAAGTGTGAAAGCAGTGCTGGGTTGTGGATGGACCCAGGACCAGGAGTTACAGTCCTGGTGCCTCTTCTGGTCCCTCCCTGACTGGCTGCCTGCCTGGCCCACCTTGGGGTCCTCACCTAGAACCTATAGGTGCTTAGTCCCTTCCAGCTTCACAGTCCTACTTTGCCCCTCGAGGTGTATTTTTGAGGGTTTTCTTTCCAAGAACATTCTAGAGCTGGGAGATGATGAGATTTGCCATTATCCTTAATTCCCAAGGATACTGGGCGGTCTGACCTGGGACTGGGTGTTTCAACAGAAATAACACAGGAGAGGGAGCCCAGGGGCAAGCCTGGAGGTCGGCTCAGTCATTAGGCAGTGGAGCCACAAGATGAGGCAGGTTTCCTAGGTGTTTCATGATGACTTGCTAGAGCCAGTGACCTCTAAAGATAGAGCAGTCCAAGGAATGATCTAGAAAGAGTGAAGGGGACAGGCATAAGAGCAGGTGGCTTTGGAGCAGAACCGTGTTTCCTTTCCTTGGTTTTTAATGTCCCTTCTTTTCCTGCAGAGGGCAGGTGAGGAGCTCCGGATCCTTCCATAACGAGGTGGCTCGTGCCTATAATCCCAGCACTTTGGGAGGCCGAGGCAGGAGGATCACGAGGTCAAGAGATTGAGACCATCCTGGTCAACAAGGTGAAAACCCGTCTCTACTAAAAATACAAAAATTAGCTGGGCATGGTGGTGCGCGCCTGTAATCCCAGCTACTCGGGAGGCTGAGGCAGGAATTGCTTGAACCCAGAATGCGGAGGTTGCGGTGAGCTGAGATCGTGCCATTGCACTCCAGCCTGGGTAACAACAGCGAAACTCCGTCTCAAAAAAAAAAAAAAAAAAAATACAAGTGGACATTTGTAAATGCAAAGTGACTGACGGAAAGAGGGAACATGAACTGCTGGAAATCTGGTCCTCACGGGCCATGTGTGTTTGAGAGTTATGAGACAGAAATTTGGGAAGAAGTTTTGCAAATATCATCTCCCATTGGACATTATGCAAAGTGAAGTAAGTCACTCATAGGACAAATACTGTATGATTTCACTTAAATGAGGTTCCTAGAGTAGTCAAACTCATAGAATCAGGTATTAGAATGGTAGTTGCTATGGGGTGGGTGTGGGAGAATGAGGAGTTGTTCAATGGGTGTGAAGTTTGATTTACACAGGATGAGGAGGTTCTAGAGATCTGCTACAGCTTCATGCCTATAGTTCTTACAGACTATTTCTTATGCATAAGGCTTAGCACCAAAAGTGTTTTGAAATTCTAACTTTTTAAAATTTTTGAATATTTGCAGTATTCTTACCGGTTTAGCATCTCACATCTGAAAATTCAAAATTGAAAATGCTCCAGTGAACATTTCTTTTGAGCATCACATTAGTGGCAAAAAAGTGTGGAATTTTGGAACATTTCAGATTTTGGATTTTTTTTTGAGATGGAGTCTCGCTCTGTCACCCAGGTGGGAGTGCAGTGGCAAGATCTTGGCTCACTGCGACCTCTACCTCCCTAGTTCAAACAATTTTCCTGCCTCAGTGTCCTGAGTAGGTGGGAGTAGTGGCGCACACTACCATGCCTGACTAATTTTTTTGTATTTTTAGTAGAGATGGGGTTTCACCGTGTTGCCGAGGCTGGTTTCAAATTCCTGAGCTCAGGCAATCCATCTGCCTCGGCCTCCCAAAGTGCTAGGTGTGAGCTTCCACGCCCTGCCCAGATTTTGGATTTTTGATGGTCGATGTGTAACTAATTCGCTTTTTAAAATGTGTCAGGAGTTTAGCTATTATGTTATGTTCTGACTATAGTAAAAAACAAAATTGGAGGAAACATTAATTTTTTTCCATGAGTAGAAATTGCTATTAATTGTCCACAGATCTAAAATTAATCAGTGGAAGGAGCATTTCTCTTGATAATAAAATAAAGTTTAGGTGTCCTGTGAATTCCAGCGGGATCACATTATGCTCAAAGGAAGATCCTGAAGTTCGTTTGAAATTAGCAACTCCCAGGTAGAGGGAGGCACGTGAGTCCTGTTAGGAGGACAGGATGGTCAGAGAGGAAGTCTTAGGTGTGTCAGTTACATAAAGGGAGGAACGATTTCAAATTAGGAGAAGCGATGTGTATTACACTGGTAAATTTAGAAAGCTTCCTGCCCCTAATTCCTATGGAGTTGGGCAAAACTGGGAGGAACCCAGAACAGGCATATGCAATGCTTTCTTCATTTTTCTCTTGACCTCAGGAGACACAAGTAGAGTTTAATTAGGTTTTTGTGAATTGGACAGTCTAAGTGAGATGCCGGTGGCTTGTGCATCTCCCCACCTGAAGGACCCCACCTTATCACAATGGCGCCGCCATGAGCACACAGATGTGTGTGCAACAGGCAGTAAACCCATCAGGCAGCACCCACCTGGCCGTCCAGGATCTAGTTGCTATATAGGTTATGGATCATTCATTCTTTCATTCATTCCCTCTCCCCTTAATGAGAGAACTAGTGAGTGTGTGTCAGCTGTTGGGCCTGTCCTGATACAGGGTGTGAGTGGGGAGAGAAAGCAAAGTCCTCTCTTTTGTCCTCCCGTGGGAGTGACACCAACACAGCAGGAAACAGGATTTCAGGTTCAGTGAGGGGGTTAAGATCATAGAGGGAGCCAGGACATTCCTTGCGCTGGCTCTGACAGTTGGGGTAAGTGATTTAGTTCTGGAGTGCAAACTAATCAGTTGTTTATTTGCTTTCACTCTTCTGAGGGTTGGATGCCCAGGAAGAAAGGATTTGAGCCAATGGATGACCGTGGGGTCCATGGAACCCAATAAGCCCCCACTTCTTGTGGAAGAGAGGATGGGGCTGTGGCTGGAGAGGGATCTGATGGGACTCTGATCTGGCCCTCGTGTTTGTGTGACCCTGGTTCAGTGACTGTCTTTCTGTGCCTCTGTTTCTTCTCAGTAATAAGCTTCTGTTGGCCAAGCGCTGTGGCTCACTCCTGTAATCCCAGCACTTTGGGAGGCCTAGGCAGGTGAATCATGATGTCAAGAGATCAAGGCCATCCTGGCCAATATAGTGAAACCCTGTCTCTCTAAAAATAGCTGGGCGTGGTGGCATACACCTGTAGTCCCAGCTACTCGGGAGGCTGAGGCAGGAGAATCGCTTGAACCTGGGAGGTGGAGGTTGCAGTGGGCTGAGATTGTGCCACTGGCACAGCAGCCTGGTGACAGAGGGAGACTCCATCTTAAAAAAAAAACTTCTCTTAAAATTAGCATTAAATTATTCATAGTCACCTGACCTGAAGTCACAGAGGAGGCGCTCACACAAGCAGATGGGCTATTATTTGCCTCCATGAGAGGGTCCCCTTGGCATGATCCCTGCTGGACAAGTTGCTGTTGGGAACATCTTTCTTCTATTTCTGCCCCCTGGGGACACTGAACTTTCTATGGAGTCTCCTAAACCTCCCAGGGCAGTTGGCCGATGGCCTAAGAAGCTTGCCCATCTGTCCTTTTCACTGAGTCTCAGGTGAAGGACAAGACTCTGTCCTTGCCCAGACGAGGCTCTGGGGTCTGAGCCCTGGCTGGTGAGCAGCTCCAGGAACCACAGCCCTTGGACAGCTGGTAATTCTTTGTTCCCAGTTGGCCCTGCCCAGAAGGCCGCTACCCAGCTCTGCCACAGGTTCCCCAGGGTCACCTGGAGTCAGGATCCTGGGATAGGGGGTCTGGAGCAGGGGCTTCCAGGGCCGAGCTTCTCTGTGAGGATCCCAGGGGGTCCCTGAGGTCAGGCCCTGTCCCAGTTCTTTAGGGGCTTTCTCAGGGTCAGGTCTAAGGGGAGGGCATGGGTGCTTGGCTGAGACTGATCTCCTGATGAGTCCCCGTTATCAGACTGTCTTCCCTCTGCCTCGAGTATCTGCAGGGTCTGGATGCAGGAAAGGAATTCTGATCTGTGGAAGTTTGTCTCCCCTGTGTGTGCCCTGTACTAAATGCCCAAACCCTAAATGCGACATAATGCAGAGGAGGACACAGGCTCAGCCTAGGCCTGACAATCCTGTGTGTGTGAAGTGGAACTGACCCCCAACACCCAGAGGATAAGAGGAATCACTCACGGTGTACGCTGAACTGGCCCGTTACTTCTTCATTCACAAGATCTAGCTTTACGACTTGTAGAGTGTAGAATCCTGTGTCATTTCTGGTGACGTTCTGCATCAGTAGGGATGCATTGGGGTATAGTGCCTCTCGACCGCTGTATGCGGGCCCTGGGGTAGTTATTTGAGGTCTCACTACATATCCTATAATTCGCCGTTTGGCATCCACCGTTTCCCCTTTGTACCAGTTGTAGCCAAGAAGTTCCTGGGGCAGATTGTGGACAAGCAGAAGAACCTCCTTCCCTTCTGCAGCATTGGGTGGCACAGCTTCAATACTGAACTGGGCAGTGGTGGGCGGGTTCCAGAAGGTGAAAAGTGAGGCTAGGAGGGGGAGAAAGCATCAGTCAATATTGCAGCCTATGTATTGAGGTGGAAAGACTGTGAGCTTTGGAGTGTATGTGTTTGTGTGTGTGTGTGTCCTACTGAGTCAAAGTCCGCAGCAGCACAGTCCCCTTTTCTTCAACACCTCTGAACCTGGCATTTCCCTGTGTGGAATCCTCTTCCTCAGGGGTCTGCGTGGCTACCTCCACAATGCCCTCAGAGCCTGCTAACATCAGGGCATCCTTAGGAGACCCCTTCCTTGACACCTCCTCCAGAGACCTTGGGTCTTCCCTTTCTGACCTTTCCCTGCTGTGTTCCCTCCCTCCAGGGCTCTTGTCAACACCTGACCTCACATTCTAGATCACTTTGTGTGTCTGTCTTCCTCCCCAGGAGAGTGTAAGCTCCGTGAGGGCAGGGCTTGTGTGATCTTGGCTGCACCCCAGTGCCTGGGACAGGCTGCAGACTCCTGTGGATGAGCTCATGAGTCTTCCCAGGGCCCTCTGCTTCCTGAGGTTTATTTGCCAATGTCTGACATTGTTGGCTGAGGACAATGTTTCATGCCCTGGTTATGTTTTTATGTGAAGTGTCATCTCATATAGTTATTATTATCATTTTTCAAAATGTAGTGGCCAGTGATGATTAACCAGGAATATGAAACACTTGAGATGTTCCTGCCTCTTGCCAATTCCAGTTCAATGTGATTTTCCTGCTATGACCTCCATCTGCCTCTGGTGTCCTCTCTTCTATTAAGGCTCCAGTAGAAGGCCTCAGCCCCACTCAGAGGCCTGTCCTCCCCAGGAGACCCCAGCCAGTCACTGTGCTTCCTCTTTCTGTCCTCTCCCAGGAAGTTCACTCCTCACCTGTGAGCAGGAGGCCCTGCGAGGGGACGTGCCATCTGCAGGGAGGGGCTGAGGGAGGCACCATGGTCTCTGCTGCCTGCGTGTCCTCCTCTGTGGAGACGAGCCTGGGATCCAGACACTTTCAGATCACAGCTGCCAGCTCTGCTGTCCTTCCTCCTTCTGCACTGAGCCTCTTCCCAGGGCAGGAGCACTTCTCAGGCTTGTGGGTGGGGTCTGTGCTGAGGACACACCTCTCTGTCCCCTCCCCTCTCAGTCCTGCCTCCTTGTCACTCCTTTTTATTTTCTGTCTGTGTTTCAGGCCCCTGGGAGGTTCTTCCTTCTTCAGCAATGATTCTCTCACCCAGGCTCTATACACACTACACACCCACACACACAAAAATACACACCCAGACACACAGTCACACACACACCCTGTAGGTTGGGTGAGCACAGCCTTGGGCCCTCAGCATCCTGCAGCCCATGTCCCCAGGTTGGGGCACACAGTTGCTCCCCCTGCCCTCTCCCATTCCCATCTGGCTATTCCCTTCAGATCAGGAGGTTGGGGCTCCACCACTGTCAAAGGGATACCGCCACTGAACTTTGGGGAGCTGAATGCTCACTGGGGAGAGGGATCCTCCCTCTCTCTCATTGTGTCAAGTTTGGTTGCAGCTTCCAAGGATGGACATTCAATGCGCTGAGTATCCCAGAGGGGACTGTCCTTTCTGCTGTGTGCAGGGCAAATAATCTCTTATGTTCCTGAGAGAGAGGGCTGTTCTTGTTGGTCAGTGGGGGCTGTGGGCCTTGTGGTCACCAGGGACAGGTCTCAGCCATTTTCTTGCTCCCCGGGTTCTGGCAGCTGAACGGGGGCTCAGGCCTTCCATATTCTCTCTGACCATCTTGGGTGTCCTCTGTTTTTGCCTGACTGACTGTCCTGTGGTCACCCCACCTTCCCCATGGCGGGTACAGCAGGGAGTGAGGAGTTGACTAGGGGCCCCACAGGACACAACTCCCTCAGATCCAGGAGAGGGGGCCTGGGACAGAGCAGGGGCTCAGAGCTGGAGAGAGAGTCATTCCAGCTTACCCTGCAGCCAGGATGGGCTCAGTCCTCCCCATGCTGACATCCTCTGGGGTCTGTCCTAAGGGTTTGGACCTAGTCAAGCCCCTCTGTGTAGAGGAAGGATGGGCAGTGGCCAGAGAGCCTGTCTGGGGTGGGGGACGTTGCTCACGCCTGAGAGGGCAGGTAGGAGTGGGACATTTTCTGGGAACAAATGGAGCTCATCTCTTGCCCCTCATGTTGGGCACATGAAAGAACTCTGTCCTCCCTTCTGACTTCATGAAGGACAGTAGGGGGCAGGTGGCCACATCCCAGATGGTGCCTGGGTATGACTGTCACATACTCTCTGAGCCTTCTGGGGTGCAGAGGGAAGGTCACAGGGTGCCCGGCTGATTCCCCAGAGGCACTGTGGGCCCTCAGTTGTCTGTGGTTCTGTGTCAGCGCTGGGCCCAGCCTGTCATGCCCTGGAGAACAGGACAGAGGGAGCAGGGGTGGGCATTTAGGGAGCAGTCACAGAAAGAGTTGATGAGGATAGAAGGAGGTCATGACAGGAAAGTGCTCAGTGTGGCCTCGCGTGCACCGGCGCTGTCCTGGGAGATGCCTTTTTAGCTGAGCCCAGGGAAGGAGTGGGTGTTTGGGGCAGGAGCTGCCTGCAGAGGGAGTGGCCTCATGTTGGCGGCCACCTGGCTGCAGGGAGGAGCTGACAGAGTACGTGTGGGGAGCTTGGAGGGTGAGGGTGGACCCTGTGGGGTTGTGGGTTCCGCTGAGGGAGGTCAGCAGCCCCTGGGCAGGCTACAAGCCGGTGGGGACTCTGCCGCCCTCTGGTGGAGTGGAAGGGAAGTGTGAATGGCAGCAGTTCCAGGCCAGGCTGCCTGTTTTATTCCACATGGATTTGCACATTTCAGACGTGGTCTCACATGTTATGTTACAGCTTCATCAGGATGCAGCCTAGTGAGTCCCACTCTCTGTGGCCGCAAATTCACTGTACTTCCTCTTTCACAATCAGATGTCTCAGACACAGATTTCTGTCACCTGTGAGTTTGTGTTTATGTGCAGCAGGCTGCACTGTGTAAGCCCTGGGGACAGTGATGTCTGCGGCAGAGCACTGGGCAGGGATTTGGAAGCAGAAGAGGGAGGTGCAGCATGGGAAGATCAGTGTCAGGGGAGCAGAGGGGGAGCAGGGGCAAGTCATCTTTATTTCTCACTCCCAGGGGACCAAGATCCTGACTCTGGGGCACAGCACCCCACCCTGATGGTGTCCCTGGGTGTTGCAGGTGCTCATAATTTTATGTTGCCTTGGATTATTTTAAGTTGTAAGTTTAAGTGCCTTATATCAGAGGCAGGGCTTGGTCACCATGACAGTTTTCAATACTGTACTTGATCCACATGTCTCCAGTTGGTGGGCAGAGATAAAATCTTAGAGGCATCTCTACTGCTTAATATGCTGGGCTCCCCTCTTTACAGCTGTTTTTGTTTTTTTTTTTTTTAAGGGAGTCTTGCTCTGTCACCAGGCTGGAGTGCAGTGAGGAGACCTCAGTTCTTTGCAACCTCCGACTACCTGGTTCAAGTCATTCTCCTGCCTCAGCCTCCTGAGTAGCTGAGATTACAGGCAGGCGCCACCACACCCAGCTGATTTTTGTACTTTTAGTAGAGACAGGGTTTCACCATGTTTTCCAGGATGGTCTCAAACTCCTGACCTTGTGATCTGCCTGCCTTGGCCTCCCAAAGTGCTGGGATTACAAGTGTGAGCCACCGCACCTGGCCCTCCAGCTGGTTCTTTTAAACTGAAAATTCTGACATTTTTTTCTCAAATTTAAGGTGACCACCTCTGATTCACAGCATGATCTCCTGGCCCCAGTGCTTGCTTTAAATGAATCCAGTCAATCTCTTGGCTGGAAACCTGTCAGATAACATCCTGGCCCCAGTAAAGCCATAGACCTACAGGTCCCTTTTCTTTCTTTATCTTTCTTTCTCCTTGTTCCTTCTCTCTCTCTCTTTCTTCCTCTCCTTCCCTCCCTCCCTTCCTCCCTCCCTCCCTTCTTCCCTCCCTCCCTTCCTCCCTCCCTCCCTTCTTCCCTCCCTCCCTCCCTCCCTCCCTCCCTCCCTCCCTCCCTCCCTCCCTCCCTTCCTTCCTTCCTTCCTTCCTTCCTTCCTTCCTTCCTTCCTCTCTCCTCTCTCTCTCTCTCAGCTGTAGCGCAGTGGCACGATCTCGGCTCACTGCAATCGCTGCCTCTTGGGTTCAAGTGATTCTCTTGCCTCAGCCTCCCAAGTAGCTGGGACTACAGGCACCTGCCACCATGCCCAGCTAATTTTTGTATTTTTAGTAGAGATGGGGTTTCACCATGATGGCCAGGATGGTCTTGATCTCTTGACCTCCTAATCCTCCCACCTCAGCCTCCAAAAGTGCTGGGATTACAGGCATGAGCCACCACACCCAGCCTAGGTCCCCTTTCTTTTCCCTGCCTGGGCTCCCTCACCTCTGTGACTGTGGTCTCCAGATGTGCTGCGTGCTCCCCAGTGTCTGTAAGTAGTAAAAACTGTGGTTGTGTCACTAGAGCCTCACCTGCCATCTAGAGCCTGACACTGAGGCTGCCCCATGGGACCTGGGCAAGTAGAGCCCCTGCTGGTCCTCTTTTCTTGGGGCCTCTGGTGCTGCTGGGGACAGGAGCTGCCACCTAACTTTATGAAGAAACTGAAGAGTTTTATTTGAAACAGTGGGTCAGATGATGTATTCCTGGTCTTGGGCTGCTATAACAAACACTGTACTTAGCCTGGGTGACTTAAACAGTATAAATCTTTTTTTTTTGAGATGGAGTTTTGCTCTTGTTGCCCAGGCTGGAGTGCAATGGCACCATCTCAGCTCACTGCAACCTCTGCCTCCTGGGTTCAAGTGATTCTCCTGCCTCAGCCTCCTGAGTAGCTGGGATTACAGGCATGCACCACCATGCCCGGTGAATTTTTGTATTTTTAGTAGAGACAGGGTTTCACCATGTTGGCCAGGCTAGTCTCAAACTCGTGACCTCGTGATCTGCCCACCTCAGCCTCCCTAAGTGCTGAGATTACAGGTGTGGGCCACAATGCCCAGGCTAGAACTCTATTTCTCACAGTTCTGGAGGCTGGGATGTCCAAGGTCAAGGTTCCAGCTGATGTGGTCCTGTGTGGGACCCCTTGCAGATGCCTGCTTTCTTGCTGTATCTGCCCATGTTGGGGCTTGGGAGGGTTGGAGAGACAGAGGAGAGAGAACATTCTTCTGTGCCTTCCTCTTTTTACAAGGGTATTAATTTTATCATGAAGCTTCTACCTTATGACAGAGTCTTACTCTAATTACCTCCCAAAGACCCCTTTCTCCAAATTCCATCACATTAAGGATAAAGGCTTCAACAATTTTGTGGGGACACATTGAGTTTCCAGTAGGGGAGGTGGGAGCTGCTTCCTTTCCCATTCACGAGACCTGGCTTTCTTTGCTGAGATGGCTTCACACTCACAGTCCCAGACTGGGTAGTCCCGCACTGGGCTGTAGCCATACGGAGCCTCACTTCTTCTGTCCATTCCTGGGTTTTTCTTCCTGTGCTACTATCTCCCTGTGGCCTCACCTGCTCCCAATCCAAGCAGCTGCCCCTAGGTCACTGCCCCCATCACCATCTCTGGCCTCACTGCCCTCTGCCATTTTTCTGAGCTCTGAGCCCAGGAAGGGTGAAGCTGGGATGGGTGCTGTCCAAGGTTCTGCTCTCTGTGGATAGCTTCCCAGTGAGGCACCCTGATGTGTTACCAAGGATGCCTTGGAAAAAGCTGTTTTTCAGGGGTGCTTGCATCATGGTGTGGGTGAGAGTGGTGGGCACTCTGGAGTGGGCTGGACCCATGAACTGCAGGGACCCTGCTCTGTATCAGTGGCCAGCTCCTCCAGTCCCTTGTTTTTCTCTGTAGCTGATTCTCTGGTGTAATCTCTGAGCCTATGTTAGTCCTCCTCACAGTGCTGTGTGGAGATCTAATGGGGATGTGTGTGGCTTATGTGCTCACACAGAGTGTCCTGGGGTCAGGCTTTATGACCTACCTTGCCCCAACTCCACAACAAGATCTGGATGGTGGGCTGAGTAAGACAAAGTCAG